GGCTTACAAGTCCCCCATGTGATAGCATAGTGGCAGTGACAGGTACTTTTTAAGGTGATATTGGGGTCCAAAAGACCCCGTGTCACCTTTACACTTGAAATAAGCTATTGAAGTGCAGATCGCTTTTCAATAGCTTACAGCTGGGCTTCAGGAGCCGACCAATGACAGCTATGGGACCGGAAGTGATATAATCTGCATCGCTCCCGATCCCATAGTATGTGGATGGGCTTGGTGAACGGAGGTTCGCCGATCACCTACCAAGCTTCCCCCCTACACCAGAGAAGCCGGTCCGGGCACGTAAAAGGGGAACTGGAGCCTGGTAAACACGGCGGGGGGCGGCCCCTCTTACCGGCTCGTAAAAACGATCTGGCGACAGCTGAGCTGCCAGAGTCGGCTTTACAAGTGTAAACAGATTCGGGAGTCTGTTTAAATGGGCCTGATGCCAGTGACGTGCTCATGAAGGGGTTAAGCATATCTGATACTTTAGATCAGGGGTTGGAAAACTCTGGCCCTCCAGCTCTGGTGCAGCTACACATCCCATGATGCATTGCAAGACTTTGACAGCCACAGACATGACTGCCAGAGGCAGATCTGTGATGGGTTTTGTAGTTGCACCACAGCTGGAGGGCCAAAGTTTGCCTAACCCAGCTCTAGAGTAAGGGCTTGTATAGAGCACAACATGTTTGCTTTAAAGTGATATTGAAGTCAAAAGGATTTGAAATGCAGATGAAATCGCTTACAATGGATGCCGCTCCTTGATTTGTAAACGTTTTAATTTCCTGCTGAATCAGCTGGTCTCCTGAGCACCAGTTTTAGGGTGACTCCTTTCCTTTGTAGGATCCTATAGAGCCACCCTTGTGTGTGTCTCCACAAACACACAATAATATGAAATCACCTGCACTCCATACAGCGTACAGACCTTGGATGAAAGGTTGGTGCTTGAAGTGACAACACAGAAGGCGCCGTGTCAGATACAGTCCATAATAAAAGTCACCAGCACTCGATGATGTGTGCAAGAAGTAAAGCACTTTTCATTCAATCGTCACATGCGTCATACAGCCGTTTCAGGGCCACGCAGGGTCCCTTCTTCTGTCACTATGTCGCACATCATCGAGTGCTGGTGACTTCTATTATGGTCCACAAATACACAGCAAGGCCAGCCTCTCTGCTCCCCTCTCCTGTAGGGACTTTGATGGTGTTATGTGCAGGTTACATCTCAGCTGCTACTTTACCATAGAACTTGTATATGTGATCTCTCTTTCTTCCTGTTCTCCTGATTGTCTCCTCCATGTAACTTGTTTAGTGATGATTGTGTCTTGTGTGTATTCTCTCTTCTAGTTGGCCATTCGGTGCTCTCCATAAATGGCATTGATGTGAATGGAAGATACACGGCGGATGGAAAGGAAGTTCTGGAATTTCTGGGAAACCCCTCCAACTATCCTCTCTCTATCCGCTTTGGGCGATCTCGTCTTTCATCCAATGAGAAGCTGATGTTGGCCTCCATGTTTCACTCGTGAGTTCCTGCATTTAGTCATCCATGTTCCCCTTACTAATCCGGATTGTAGGCTTTGGTACCGATTGTTTTTTTTTTTTTATAGGAATTCATGAACAGTATATTGGGAAGAAGTAAATAAAATATAGAGGTGTCAGGGATAAGGATTGAGAGAAAAGGTATTGAGGAGAGTAATTTGATTATTATTATACAGGAATTCTATAGCGCCAACAGTTTGCACAGCACTTTACAATATAAGGGAGACATTAATATCACTATTCAAGACAAGATGGTAAGGAGGGCCCTGCCCCTGAGGGCTTACTATCTAAAAGGGAGGGGTCAGTGATTGAGGCAGAGTTGTGGATGGCTTTGTAACTGATTGTTAATATTTTGAATTTTATCCTTTGGACGACTGGAAGCCAGTGTAGGGATCGGCAGAGGGGGGTTGCGGACACTGAGCGGTTTGTTAGGTAAATGAGTCTAGCAGCTGCATTCATGATAGACTGAAGGGGGGATAGCCTGTGTAGTGGAAGGCCAATGAGGAGGGAGTTGCAATAGTCAAGACGAGAGATAACAAGGGAGTGGATGAGTAATTTTGCGGTTTTCCGGAAGGGGCGTATTTTGGAGATGTTACGAAGGTGAAGCCGGCAGGATTTGGATAGTGATTGGATGTGGGCAAGAAAGGTGATGTCCGAGTCAAGGATGACACCTAGCACCTTGGCATTGGAGGAGGGGTGGATAGTTGTGTTAACAATCTCAAGGGAAAAGTTGGGGGAAGGTGCACGGGCAGGAGGAAATATGAGCTCAGTTTTTGAGAGATTGAGCTTTAAGAAGTGTTGTGACATCCAGACGGATATGTCAGTTAGTAGATTAGTGACACGCAAGGACACTGAGGGGGAGAGTTGTGGAGTGGAAAGATAGATTTGAGTGTCATCGGCATAGAGATGGTATTGGAAGCCATGTGAGGTTATTAACTGACCAAGGGAGGAGGTGTAGATAGAGACTAGAAGGGGTCCAAGGACAGAGCCTTGGGGGACCCCAACAGAAAGAGGAGGGGAGGAGTTAGATTTGTAGGTGACACTAAGGCTGGGTTCACACCTAGGCGTATTGAATATGCGCATTTGTCGCGCGTTTCGTGCCGTGCGTTTTTACCGTGTTTCCGAGGGCTACCTGGCTGTATCCCAATGAATACGCGCGGCAAATACGCCCCAAAGAAGCTCCTGCACTTCTTTGGCCTGGTTCACACCAAATGCAGAGCAGATCCGCCCAGGTTTATGCACACGCAGTGCAGTGGGTTGTGCTGTGTTTTTGATGCGTTCAGGGCCGTTTTTGGTTAAAACAATATTATTATTTTTTTAGTTTAACATGGGCTTTCAGTGCGTTCCAGGCATTTGCATGCGTTTTTGATGCGTTTGCATACGGTCCAGAGCAGGTCAAATAGGGCTTGCTGCAGTTTTTTCACCTGCTCTGGAACTGAACGTTGGCTCAGGTAAGATTTGAAAATGAGACAGAGAAGCTGATTGGTTGCCGTGCAAATCTGCTCCAGTTTTGATAAATTCCCCCCAGAGAGTCTGTGTCTAAGGGTGTGCACACCCATGTCATTTGAGGCCTAAATGTTCTGTAGTAGCTCCTCACACATGTGACTGGAGGCAAGGTTCTTGATGCCGTGAGATATTGGCTACGCATGATTGGCCAGGGAGCACGGAAAGATGTTGGGGTGTGAAAATAACCAAGGGAGGCGCACACAGAATCACATGAGGCGGTGCTCCTCTTCTGACAGACTACTTTGGTGCTATGGCATAAAAAGCGCAGTGTGAGGCATGCCAATATATCCAAGACAGCGGCAATCCAGACAAGGAGGTCAAAAAACCCTTCACATTAGACGTCACAGGAAATATACTTGTCACATGCAGAACATGGTTACCAGTACATTATTGTAAAACACGGTGTGCGCCTCTTCATGTATAGGCCTAGGCATACAGCTCAATAACAGCTATTTCATATGGCAAATGATTTCTATTGCTGTCCATTCAGTCCTCAGATTTACACAGCTTTGGGAAGAGAAATGGT